TGTGTGTGTGTGTGTGTGTGTGTGTGTGTGTGTGTGTGTGTGTGTGTATACATCTTCCATCGCATAAATTCTGCAAATGCACTTTGCTTGAAAAATACATATATAAAAGCACAAAATAAAAATTAATGCAGAATTATTCTTATTGTTAGTACAAAGTAATCGGAGCATGATCCTGGAGACGTCCCATGTCCGTGATATCGTCATCGTAAACGGGGCATGGGGCCCACAGAAAAAATAATAAAAATAATATATGTATGTGCGTATTGTTGGGAGAAGACTTTGAACGAGCAATAAGTTCCCGCCCTTCTAGAGGGCAGCTCCCGGTTGGCGGCGCGACTTGGCGCGCCACGCGTGCGTGCGGGCATCAGTGGTCCTCACAAGAGCCTCGATCACCGTCGTGTTCAGACGTGTTAGTTACGGTTTAAGTTACAGAGTGTGACATACTTATATATAATAAAGACAGTATTCAGAGTGTACAAAAACCAAGACTGTTGTGTTCCCTGCTCATCTCATCACATTTCAAGTCGTCCCTGATTATATTTCCAATACGTATGCGTATGTATGTGCGATTGCGTATGCGTGTGCGTGTGTATGAATATGTATGTTCAATTGCATTACGGTTTTATGTAATATTATTTTACTTTCGACAATAACAATAAAAAAAATAATATATTTTATTTATATATGTATTTTCGTTTATATTTCCCAACATTTTATCAACGAAATAATAAATAGAGAGTTTTTTGTCCTAAATAACATTACCGTTTTTTTTTCTTCAAATATACCCTTATAGAATTCCAAAAAATCCTGATTTTACCATACTAAGTGTACGCTACCCAGTGTACTAAAAGAGAGAGAGGGAGAGAGAGGGAGAGAGAGGGAGAGAGAGGGGGAGAGAGAGAGAGAGAGAGAGAGAGAGAGAGAGAGGAATAAATGATGCAAATTACATACATAGAGAAAGGAATAATAATACGAGAGATATCCGTCCTTGTCTAACGAGGCATCTACGACATATCTGTCAAAGCTCGTTCTTTGAAACGGCTTCATAGATCACAAAATCCTTTTACAGGAGTAAAGTTTAGGTACTAATGAAGGGTGGGATTGTAAAATAATTAGTAATAATTTAAAAAAATGTAAAAATGCCTAACGAGATATCTGTACCACATGGGCCCGATTCTCTAACGAAAAACGTATGCGCAAACACTGCTCTAACAGAAAGGCTGCAATGATTGGCTATCGCACAGTTTTTAGCCAATAAGCTTGCAGCTTTTCTGTTACAGCAGAGTTTACGCATACGTTTGTAGATAGAGAATCGGGCCCCATATCTGTCAAAGCTCGTTCTTTGAAACGGCTTCATAGATCGCAAAATCCTTTTACAGGAGTAAAATTTAGGTACTAATGAAGGGTGGGATTGTAAAATAATTAGTAATAATTGAAAAAAATGTAAAAATGTCTAACGCGATATCTGTACCACATATCTTTCAAAGCTCGTTCTTTGAAACGGCTTCATAGATCGCAAAATCTTTTTACAGGAGTAAAGTTTAGGTATTAATGAAGGGTGGGATTGTAAAATAATTAGTAATAATTGAAAAAAATGTAAAAATGCCTAACGAGATATCTGTATCATATATCTGTCCTGGGGCCCTATTCTTGAATCGTTTTCATGAAACTCGCATGCGAAATTCAATGCTTTTCAAATAGAAAGTCGCATACGAAAATCATTAGGGCAGGCTCGAGAATACGGTCCCTGGTTCGATTGCTGTGTAGGAACCAGACAATGTAGCCAACCCCGAAACTGCCCACAGCTGCGTGCGCCATCGCGCCATCTCTCGCAAGATCCGTGAACTACTGCTGTGACATAATTGCTGCTCTGCGTGAATATTTTTGTGAAAAATATACACGATCGTTTCAAAGCTCTCATTTTTATTCCAGGCTTTCAATCTCAATTTCAAAGGTACGTTATTGTTTGTGCACGTCTTCTGAAGGGTGGGAAAGTTTAATTTTGTACATATTACGTATACAACTGTTTATATCAGAAAATAAGGTTATGAGGTGACAGCATTTAAAAATTTTTTTTAATTATTACTAATTATTTGACAATCCCACCCTTCATTAGTACCTCTACTTTACTCCTGTAAAAGGATTTTGCGATCTGTAAAGCCGTTTCAAAATGAGAGCTTTGAAATGAATTGTCGGTAATTTGGACGGCTTTAGCATCCCCTTAAGGGGATGCTAAAGCTAAGGCCGAACTTCCTCGACGTCGGTAATGTCAACTCTGTCAACTAAAGCAAAGGCCGAACTGATATTGGAGACCTCGCGTGGTGACAACGCGAAACTCCGGTTTCAGTGTTACCAACTTATTTCAGATTCTATGAAGTGGTGTATGTCCGTACACGTACATACACACACCACTGAATTGCTCACACGGACGCACGGTAGAGAGACATATGCTATAGACGCGGCAACGCCGCGCGGCGTTGCCGCGTCTTGGATTCTTTAGCAATACGGCCTGAACCTGAAAATGCTTTCTGGCCGTCTGTAGCAGAAGGCAGTAACGTATCAAGGCTGATAAGCACCCGCTTTTTATAAATTATATATATTCTTATGCACACATGTGCGTATATATATATATATAATATGTATCTAATTATTACGTGTATGTTTATAATTGTCTGA